CAGAAAATATACTAAGCATGTTTTCGAATGTCGTGAGAATTAGAGAATGCGAATCGGTCCGCGCACAAGATATACTAATTTAATAGCTGCTCCCATATGTGAAAATAGTAGAACTCGAACATAAATTCAAATTTGCCTACATGGATCATCTCGATAACAATGCCTTTCTTTAGACTTAGTGTTTCACAAAAGGTTTAATGGTTTACCAAAAGGTGTAACCGCCTTCTGTTCCTCCTCCTAGGAAATTCTTCTTTTGCGATATAGCCACGCTGTGACTCGCCATTGCAGCTAATTGAGCGGCGTTTGGAACTGTTGGGGGCGGTGGCAAGACAGGTTGTGAGATACTATCAAATCGATTAGTAGCATCGAACCCATTCTTCAAAAGAATTCAACAGATTAGTAACTCTCGTACGTCTCGTAGAAAATAGACAAAAGATATTCAATATATATATGTTTCAATAACTTACAGGCATCACGAGTGTAGGAGGCCTAACTGGAGGTTGCATTGCTGCTGCAGGGTAATATGCTGCAGCTGCAGCCAATGGTGGGTAATATTGCAACGGGCCGTACGCAGGATAACCCGCCAAATACCCCGGGTATCCTTGGCCGTACATTGGTTGATACATCTAGTTCATACAAATTAATAATCAGAGATTCTGGAGGAAATTTCTCGTGTGAAGTATCCTATGATGAAAATATGTACTACAATTAACGCAGAAAGATACAACTTACAAATTCATAGATACACGTGTGCGCCAAGTGTATTAATATATTCATATGTTCTTATTTTACACATATGCACTAACTTTAATCTTTTAATCGAAAATGACGAGTTTTAATCAAAAGGTACCATGTATATTTGCTGTAACGGACAAATGCTACAAGGTTCTAGAACAAATTAATTCGTCATAGAATACCTCACGACATGATAGACAATGGAATGCAACAATGTCCTTACCATTGGATGAGTAAGAGTCTGATCGTATGTCGGCGGTGGTGGTCCTTGCGCTGCATACAGCTGTGGCTGATTAGGAAATACTCCGTACGGTGCGGCACCTGCAACTATTGTAAGATTCGCATATAATCGGACCACTGAAACCTGGCGGGATCGACACATCGAAACACAGAGATGATTCTCTTACGTGTACTACCGTAGGTAGCAGGCTGTGCCGGCGCAGGGACAAAACCTGTTGGTGGATGAGGTGTCACCGGGTATGCTGTAACACATGCAATGGAAAATGCAAGTCCGTTCAATTTGTTGGCCGTAGGTTTGATCTAAGCCAACGGTACGTGGTACCACTGCCAGAAAGGATAAGAGACAACACGAATTATCGTGCAACAGGGAACATAGGAACACTTTCATCGTTTATCAATTTTTTTTTTTTTTTTTTTTTTTTT